GTTGAACATCAAATTGGTACAATTCTCTCTTTGTCACTATAGTAAAGAGAGAGCAAGATGAAGAAAAAAAATGAAAACAAAATCAAGATAAGCATTCTAACTCATATACACCATAAAAATGGTCACTATTTAATTCATCGTAATTTTATAATTTACCCAAATTCATGCCCGTAACTATTCTGTAATAATTTATCTCCAACAACGTTTCGTGGGACAAACATACCATTGGGTTTGATAATCTTGAAAGATTCCTTGATTCCGTTCAACAATATTTTTTTTGTATTCTTTTTTTTAATATAAATTATCACAATGCTCATAGTTTTCTACGATAAACATCATCTTCATTTTATACATAATATTATTTGATAACTAAAAAAAATCAAATTAGATTTGCCAGTTTACAAAAAAACAAAAAAACAAAAAAAAAAAAAAAAAAAAAATCAATTATACCATTCACTGAATTTGCTCTAAAATTAGTGTTGTTATTTACTAAATTTATGAAAATTGTTTATGAAATGACTCAATGAGCATGATATGGGAATACTTAATTAAAAAATTAGCTAGTTAAGCCTTCAAGCTTTGGCTACAAAAAGCTCTTGATCTTGTTAGTCGTAAGAGCATAATCCACAATGATAACCTTCATCAATTTTTATTGAAATTTTGGCCTGAAAGAATATAAGTCTAAAAAAATGAAATATAAAAATCCCTTTCTCTTTCCATACCAATATAGTTAAAACAAAAATAATGAACAAAAACTTTTTAATCGTAAAGATGAACCATTTCATGAATGTTTCTGTCTTTGAAATGGTAAGCACATTGAAACGAACAAAACTCATCACAGTTTTGCTTTATGGACAAAATCGACTCCATATTTATACCATAAATTTGATACAATCTGTATGCTTAAACCTGACTTTGCAACTTCCATGATAATTAGAAGTGAACAAACCCCTAAAACTGTAATCAATATTTAGTAAAAGGACGATACAATTGCGATTTATATGGAAACAAATAGCTTAAATGGTCACATAATCTTCTCTACAGGCTACATAAAGGATTTTGTTACAACCCTTAATTTGATATGTAAGATTGCACAACATGGAGGCATATGCACTTTGAAAGTTGTCAAATTTACATTAGATGCCACCCAAAAAATCTGAAGTTTGTAAGCCCCAAACACCTTCACAACATCAAGAAATAATACATTAAGATTCAAAATTTCACCGGTACAAATACTTTAGAGCAATCAAGAAGGTCGAGCAAAGTTATGAAATTATATACCAATTAATCGACTTTAGATGAAATTGAAAAGATATTCTAAATCTCTACCAATGACATGATCTTGAATCACTAATGCAATCAGATAAAAATAATACGTGCATCAGAATCATATCCATAATAAATATAAATCTTGAAGATGTGTTAAACGAATCAAAATACATGCATACCTTAATCAGTAAGAAACAACAACTATTTGTTGGCTTTGGGTAGAACTTGCATTGAGATGAAATCGTAGTACACAACTCGTGTGTAGACTCGCTTCTGCTAATGCATCTTGGACAAATTATCCTCATCGCTTCGGCTAAAACATCAAATTCCAAAAAGAGAAAAGATATTGCAGTATAACTCGAGGGCATACTCAAAAGGATTTGGATTTCTCTTTTTAGTACTGTAATCAGATATAACTTGTTTCTCTAATGAAGCAATGCTTTATTTTGAGAGAGTAGCACCAAAATGGATTAGGGATGTGATGTTATTTAGTAAGAGCATTTCTCGTATCTTTTTCAAAAATTGTACTTTTAACCCACTGACATCTATCCACCATATTTAGGTGAGGGAATGAACGGAAAATTTCTCATATTGATACGAGTCTTAGTCTCAATACAACTTGTTGCAAATAGAAGAGCTAACCTTATGGAACCGTATAGCTTATTGAACATGTCTTCTTTAACTTTTTCTACTTGGCAAAGAACAATTGTCTGCACAACAACAACAAAAAAAAGAAAAGAAAAAGATAATTTATTGTGAAACAGATGAGAGACCATGGAAGTAGAGATGTGGTGGCATTTAGTGGATAGCTTAATGAACGACATATGGAGTGTCATGACATTGACAATTTGTGAACCTGTTTCCTTAAGAAGCTTTGCAAAGTGCAAACCATTCTTTATCAAAGAACCATCCAGGGGCTACAAGCAGTGGTTTTGGCTGGATTCGTCTGTATAGATTGTCAATTATACCCCTGAGTTCAATTAAATCGTTCCCATACTGTTCAGCATGGACCATGGCACCAACACCATTACCACTCAACTCATTTCCTACACCAATAAAGAATATGAATGTACATATCATATATAAATAAAAACAAATTTAAGGATTTGAGATGAATGAAGTACCAAATTCCCATGAATGTATTTGATACCCTGAAAATATGATACCACCAAACCTTGGACTGCTTTTGTAAGAATCGGATTAGATAAATCCTGAAAATATGATACCACCAAAAAAAATTATTTTCATTTACTTTGTGTTACATATATGGAAAAGTGTGTGATGTGTTTACCAGATTTAGAGCAGATGACGATCCCCATGGGCAATGATTGTAGTTACACTTGTCATCAGGACACCAATCGATAGTAGCACAAATGTAATTTGCATCCGTATGTGATATTGGTAAAGTTCCATTAATTACAAGTTCTGACTCTTGAACATATTGTGCCGAAATTGCAGAAATCGATGCCAGAACTTGACTTCTAGCTCAGCCTGGTTACAATTTAGAGCAAAAAAGAAACTGTTAGGATGAATACAGAAGAGCAACAGTGTATGCTGCTTGAATGGCCGTGTTGATACCTTTTTAAGGAATTATACTTGTCTTTTGTTAGAAACAAATTATAGTGTTCTTGTAAAAGTGTAAAAAAGAAAAGAAAATATGAATTGTTTTTTTCGCTTTATATATCCGTGATTTGAGCAAATTTGTTCTTTCCAAAGAGCAATTTTCTTGTTGTGTTTAACATTTCGAGCAAAAATCACAACAGTTAAAGCTAAGTAACCGACAACACTATTGTTTAAACGAAACCTGCTTTGTTTGAATATCAAAAATCAGATCCCAATGCATTGATTAATAATATTATTTTAGAACGACATACGTCAAAATAAGATTCTTATAGGCCAAAAATTAACTCTAACAAATGGATTGAGTATGCAAAAACTGCATTTGCTGTTGATCCTCGGATTGCTTTCTTTTGTTTATAGAATTGTTAAATTGATTAAATGAGAAGACTGAAACTTCATAATATTTAAGATATTTCAAATGTATTTTTAAACAAATTACCTGTCATCTATGAGGTAGGGCAGTTCTCCTTCAAATCTCGTATTATTGTTCGAACACTCATATTGAAACCTAAAATCATAGACATATATTGTAGACAAATATGAAGATGGAAGCTTTGTTGTCACCAAATTGAAGATTAGGGTTCAAGAAATAGGTACTTACGCCTGTATTACAGTCGATGGGGGATACGTATATGTAGTGTCATGATTGAGTTGCCGAGAGAGAAAAGATGAAGACGATGAACAAAGGGGCGTCTGGGAAAGGAAGTCGACGAAAGGCTGATTCAAATTTGGAGATTGAATCCTGATTTCTTGCTATTAGTGTGCTGATTTATTGCTATCAGTGTTAGAAATTTCAATAGCAGGAAATTACAACGAAATCAACAAAATCAAGATAAGATTTTTGAAAATTGATTTCATGCACTAATCAAGGGACCGAGATTTGAGGATGATTGAAGATTTAGAAGATAAATTCGTGATTTTCCGATTGAAGAGGAAATTATTTGACTGTATAAGTCCTAGAGGGATAATTTAGGAATTTTACTTTGATAAAATGAGCGGGAATATAAGCTAGGATAGGGCTTAGAGAATGCCACGTGGCATAAAAAATACTTACTTATTAGGATAGGGGATATACAACCATCTGAAAGGACCCAGGGACCAAAATGTCAATATCATAAACAATTGTGGCCAAAGTCTGAATGGAAAAAAGTTTACTGTTCATTTGGCTTTCCAAAAATTAATATGTATATATAATTAAAATACCTACCCACCACCAACACATCCTTCACCATCCTTTCTTTAATTGTTGGAACACACCCACAGCCACTGAAATTGCTACCTATAACATTACAAACCACAACATCTTCTTCCCTTACTCGACAACCTCCACCTCCACTGCAAAACCTTCAACTACTTCAAAACATGCAAAACCGTCTCACCAACAGGACCTAAAGGAGCCACTACCACCCGTTCATATTCCCGTGTGCTTTCTAAACCGATCAATGGACAAAAAGAACCTACAAGCAAGAAAAGAACAACATTTGGTCACTAGACGTTGGAGGTTTTGCAATTGGGAGGGATTTAGAATCTAGGCAGACATGGGGAAGGAGAGGAGTAAGGAAACGATGATGATAGCGATGATGGAAGTTGTCTTTTTTTTTTGTTTTGTTTTTTTTTTTTGACAAGATCTAGAGTGGCATATTTAATTATTCCAGCAAGGTCTGGAGCGACTTGCGTAATTTTTTCGGCGTGATCTCACTACTCGAATCTACGATCTAGGAAAGAGATTTTATGTTGGAAGCCTACATACGGAACCACTACTGATCTCCTCCCCGGCATAACCGCCACTGAACTCCGCCGCCATTGATTCTACCCTACCCCTTTGATTTTGATATTCGTTTTCTATATGGATCGGTTTTTAGGTTAGGATTTTTTATTCAAATCAAGTGATAGAGAATGGTGGTGAATGGTTTCTTCAAGATCTGTGTTTCTTGATTTTAGGTTTTAATGACCAAATCCAGAAAAATAGAAGGATTAGCTTATGTTTTGACAAACCACATAAACCAATCCTATAACTTGTTAAAATAAATGACCTAAATATACCCGAACCTGCATAGTTGACTTACCACACAAGACAATAATGAATTATTTGTTTTGGAAATCTAAAGACAGTTTCAAACAACACAAATCATTTGGAAACAAGAATAATTATACATATATATGTCATATATTACATTACTTAAAAAAAGATTCATGTTTACGCCAGTAGCACCACCCATTTCTTACTCCTTACTCACAAGCGACGTGGTTTATTATTTCAATCGGAGAAAAACACATTCATATCGACCGACACTTAACTTCCTTCCATTTTCATCTTTACGTAGAAGTAACTCAACTAATTAGTGCTGCTATAGGTATCCAAGTCCTTGACCAGATCACAAAGGTAGTCCATCATGGAAGTTGGATACGGTACACTTATATCAGGCTTCTCAAATTCAAACGTCCAAGTAGCCACCTCTTTATCACCTTTTTTGTCAACATTTAGTATAATTGTAAAGGTCTTGTATAGCTCGTCTACTAGATCTCCTCCGATTACCTTAAACACAATTATGTGGTTTTCATCACTGGCTGCTTCGATTATCTGTTTTGAAATTTTCTTCTTTCCCTCTTATTACCATGCATAGATGCCAAGAAATATGTCATTCAATATCACTCTAGAAGAAGAAAAAAAGTCATGTGCGGCAATGGTTTCAGTCGGAAATCCGAAACTAAGGAAATCCGAAACTAATTAACCGTTTTACTGACAAAATATTTTGTTGGGAAAAGCCTCGTAGGTAATTATTACCGATGGAAATTTCTACGAAGTGTCGACGATCGGAAAAAAAAAGTATAGACGAATTACCGGTGGACTATGTTTACCAAATGAAGGATCACTATAAGAGTAAGGTATTCAGTTGGTAATTATTGACGAATCTATTCCGTCGATAAAAATAAGGGTCCCTTCTGGTAACGATATATGTTATAGTTTTGAACTACACAACTAGTTATGATGTTCTATCCAATTTCAATCCATAAAGACACCAGAGTCTAGAGAAATTCATTAAACATGCATGTATAAATGAACAAATAAAAACAAAATTAGGGTTTGCCCTATTACGTACCATGAGTGTAGTGCCAAGAGATGACAGATCCAACGGCCCCCCTTTCACCATCATGCAGATCACAGCCATGAACCTTATCAGGGGATATCACAGCTATCTCGTTCGGGTTGTACCTAAAGAGGTTGCATATATCCCCCTTCTTACTGACCTCAACATGACCAATTAACTTTCCACATAGAGCCATCTCTCGAATTAATGTCACAACCCTAAGCCACTTGTTTACAAGAGAGAGTTGATGAGTTTGTGGAAAATATGGCCAACAACGTTGGCTTTAAATACAAATTTTTGGTTGCTTTACACAACATTATTAGTTTGATAAACTTACTTAATATTTTAAGACAACACTTAAACGTGTAACACAATAACGTAACCACTTTTTCTTGTTTTTAAGGTTGCAATTTGCATAACAATTTATTATCTATAAATATAAATATAAAATCTCACCACAATCCCAACATATTATACATTCCTGCCACAAAGGAAAATGTTGTAGATATTTACGGTTTCAATGGCTAAATTACAAGAAAAAAAATTCAGAACTGACTTTTTTGTCAATATAACTAAAATTTAGAGATTTTTTTTACAGATTTCCTTTCTTTTTCTTTTACCACAACTATAAAAGATATATATGTTTTCTTTCATCACATGCATTTAAAACTCTTATAAATTTTCAATTTCTTTCTGATAATTATTAAATCATTGTAATTTTAAAATCACACATTAATAATTTGTATAAAACTCTTAATTTTTTAATTTAAATACAACGTTAAAGGGTTAAATTAAATTGAAATGACAGTTAAACCTATAGTATACTATAAAAGAGATTTTTTCTTTCACCATATATTTGAAACTCCCGTTATTTTTCATTTTTTTCTAAGAATAGATCAATTTCATCAAACATGTGCACCAATATTTTTCAGTTGATGAACCGAATGATATATTGTTTGGATTAATTAAGCTCATCCATATATTCCGAGTGGTGGTATGCTACATGAGGATTCTACCTTTGGAATATAGACGGTGTTTTATCAAAACATCAATTAAATATAATCTTACGAAATAATTTTAGATCATAAAGATACAAAACATGTAGAATTTATGTTTGTCTAGCAGCAAAATAAGATGGAATTGAGAAGTCACATCGTAGAGGAAGATAATATTTCCGATGAGACGATGATTAGTTGCATAAACATGTGTTTTACGTGTTATTACAGAGACTCGGTCTAATTAAATAATGATATATATTAATTTGTTTGAGTTATGTCCAATATTGCGTAATGTTTAGTATTTTTTTGTAGTGCCTAGTTAAATAATGATATATATTAATTTGTTTGAGTTATGTCTCATGCATGTTGCATAATGTTTAGTCTTCTTTTGTAGTCGGCATTTTTATATTGCAACTTACTGGTTTCTTATGAGCTTAAGGCTATTTTAGTATGTTAATTTATTATTGCTATTTTCTCTATATTATTTGTGTAGATTGATCATAAATAGACAAATAATGAATAATTTGTTTTAACTGGAAATCCAAAGACAGTTTCTCACAACACCAATTATTGGGAAACGAGAATACTGATGCATTTATAAATACATCGAATATCACATTACTTCAAAGAGATTCTTGTATAAAATACTACACCCCCGGGCATGTTTCTCTCCTTATTCACCATCTATGTATACGTACGTAGTAATTTATTCTTTCATTCAATTTAAGAAACATGCACACATACATGCATTAAGAGACTAAAAAGAGAACCTCCCTCCATTAATTTCCTTCTTTTATTAATTAATGTGGAAGTAGAAGAACTAGAAGTTGCAGAACTACTTAATTAGTGCTGCCATGGCCATGGGCATCCAAGTCCTTGACCAGATCACAAAGGTAGTCCATCAGAGAAGTTGGATATGGTACACTCACATCAGGCTTCTCAAACTCAAAGGTCCAAGTAGCCACCTGTCCATCACCCTTTTGTTCAACATGCAATATGATTGTAAAGCTCTTGTATAGCTCCTCCACTAAATCTCCTCCGATCCGATTACCTTAAACACAGCCATGTGGTTTTCCTCATTCACTGCTTCAATTATCTGTTTACAAATTTTTCTTTTTCCCTCTTAATATTTTTCAAGCAGAGATCAATGCAAAAGAAATTATCGTTAGTCGGTATGTCATATATAGTTTTGAACTAATGATCCATGATGCATTATGTACTATCCAAATCAATGAAATAACCAGAACTAGGATTTGGTGTATGAAGTACCATGAGTGTAGTGCCAAGAGATGACAGATCCAACGGCTCCCCTTTCACCATCATGCAGTTCACAGTCATGAACCTTATTAGGGGCTATTGCAACTATCTCGTGGGGTTTGTGCCTGAAGAGATCATGGAATACATCTCCCTTCTTACTGATCTCTACATAACCAATTAACTTTCCAGATAGAGCCATCGATCTCTTATGTATTTAACTAGATTATGACCCGCGTATAACGCGGGGGACATATAAAAAAATACATATAAATGCAAAACTAATCCTAATAATTAATCAATGTTTTCAAAAAATTATTAATTTACAAGGATAGATGTTTTATTTGTAAAATTATAATGATTAGTTAAAATTAATATATACATTGGAATATCTGATCGACGTTCTGTATGTGTGGATATTTGATATAACATAGGTGTACAATAGTTAATTTAAACTAATCATGCAAAATGTTTCGAAGATACGAACGTTGTTTAAAAATTGTAATCTTAACCATATATATATGTGCTAATATTGATTCTTGTAATTGTGATTTACACGGTATAGACAACATCAACATCAATTTTTTTTTTGTTTTAATTTTGCTAAGTTTTTTTTTCATTTAATAGTACTTATTATATGTGCTACTTTGCCTCTAAAACCTGAAAGAAAATTCTAAGTAAAATAATGACTATAAACAATAATTACTTAAAACTTACATCAAGAGACATTCAAACGATAACCAATTCCAACGCTTGAAAAGGCTTCAGCACCATCAGCTAAATTGTCGGGTAGAAACTATAAAAAAAATAGTCAAAATGTTGAAAAAAAACTACAAATTGACATTTTTAGCATTCTTTAGAAGATAAGATACTATATAATGGATAACAATATTATAGAGTGAGTACCTTCTTTGCCAACTTTCTCCATGGCGTTAGCAATAAGTTCACCGATCTCCCTTTCTCTACACATACACACTCTTCTTTGAGCTTTTTTTGTTCCTAGACGATAACTGAATGATCGTTTATTGTTTATATTGTAACACCCAATGTTTTCAAAACAATTTTTCACTTTTTAAAACCATATAAATTCATCCACAATTGCTTTCAAAAACAATGTATCAATTTTATCTCACTACAAATCCCAAGATCAAATCATAATAAACTCTGCGGGTGTGTATACAGATCATGCCGGCGCCTTCCCGCGATCACCACTGGTACCTGAAACACATAACACATAACACCGTAAGCATAAAGCTTAGTGAGTTCCCCAAAATACCACTCTAACACATATTAGCCACTCGAGGCTATGACTCTGCTGACCCTCTGGTCAGTGTGTCTCAGTGGGACCCTCCAGTCCCAACTCTCTGTGGGCTCTTTAGCCCTAACTCTATGGACCCAAAGGTCCTAACTCTGATAACTCTGGGTCATGCATATCACATATCACAATAAATCTCAACACATAAATAGCATACAAATACACTGGCACATAACTATAGAACATAACACACATTAGCCACTCGAGGCTATAACTCTGTGGGCCCTTGGGCCCTAACTCTGTGGACCCTCTGGTCCTAGCTCTTTGGACCTTCCGGTCCTAACTCTGGTATACACACAGCATAAATCACATAGAAATAATGCCGTGCCACAAATCACATAGATAGCATACAATAACTCTGTCACATAACTCTGTTACCACTCTAGGTAAAGTATAGTGAGAAGACTCACCTCGGGTAACTCGGTAAAGCTCGAACTCTGTAAAATCAGGTATAGCCTCCGCCTAATCATGTAAAATATATACTCTCAATCAATACATCTCTCAAGACTAGACTATTCCTCCTCTTAGTACTCTCAGAAGGGTAAAAGACCATTTTACCCCTCTCATAACTCAAAGGCCCCACTATAGACCAAACCCTAAAAGTCAACCAAAAGTCAACCCTCCGGGTTACGCTGCGCGTACCAGATGTGTACGCTGGGCGTACCAGGCAGTCTCTCAGAATCGGGGAACGCCACCCCGTACGCCGCGCGTATTGGGATTACGCCCGGCGTAAATCCCAGTTTCAGTCCCTTAGCTCTTGAGGTCTTAAACAGTTAAGACTCACGTCCAGCTTTTAGATCTGACCATTTTTAAGCCTCTTAATCCATAAAGTCGATGACTTTAAGCCTTTGCATGGCTGAACAAGTCACTAACACCCAAAATATACCATTTCCTAACACTAGAAAGCCCAATACTCAAGCATAATCTCATATCAGCGACCAAGATAGAAACTTATGGATCTAAAACATAAATATCACTGAAAGGGGACAGATCTTGGACCATGGAGCACCTTACACTCATAAAGTCTCCACCTTTGGGACTTTTAACCCTAGAAATGGCCCATGCAACAACAAACCAAAAGAAGAGGAAAGCTTTGAACTTTATACCTCTAAAAGCAGCTCCTTCCTCTGTAGATCTCAGATCCAAACTTGCACTTCAAGCTCTAGCCTCCACAAGCTCCTCTCCTTCTTCTTCACTAACACCCCAAGGCACTTTTAGCTCCAAAATCACACATACTCACTAAGGACGATGGGAAGTTCTCTCTTAGGGTTTTACTCACTGCTAGGGAGGCTGAGAAATGAGCCTTAGCATCCAATATATAGGGCACAAGTCTGAAATTAGGGTTTGCACCTGGACACATTACGCCCAGCGTAACCCTGGGTACGCCCAGCGTACTCAGGCGAGTCCGCGTCCAAAATAAGCGCATGAGTACGCGCAGCGTACTCTTGAGTACGCCCAGCGTACTCATTTGCTACCAATTCCTCTTAAGGGCTTAACTTGACACTTTGAATAAAAGAAGGGCTAAATAGTTGTACCTGAATTTCGGGATGTTACATATATAATCTCACTGTCATGAAATATGGATGCAAAACATATGTTGCTTCCATCATGTTGATTAAATCTACAAATTTGATTCGTATAGAAAAGAATGAAAGAAGCATCCCAGTTTTCAGATATTGTTATTTTCCACGTTTAATAAACATTTGAATGAAAGCACATTAATATATTCTGGTTAGGGAGGATAGAGTCATGGTAAAATTGGGAGGTACCATTGGTACCTCCAAGACACCACTCCAGCTTGAGTGGACTAGGAGGAGTGGGTTGTTTATATAGCTTCACTAACCCGCTTCACTAACCCGCTTCATACTCTCTCTCTCTCTCTCTCTCTCTCTCTCTCTCTCGCTCTCGCTCTATCTCTCCTCTTGTACCATGTGTCTTAAAACTCATACCTTAGTTTTTTTGTATTTTTTTAAATTGAGTGGGTTGAGTGGGTTGAAAAAGATAAAGTTTTCATGTGTTGTGGGTTGGAAAAGATGGAAGAGAGAGGAGAGGGAAGAGCTTATATGGTAGTGGGTTCATGAATGATGGTTTCCATATTGAATGGTAAAGATAATGTTATTAATTTAAATAAAATGTTTCAATATAATAATCAATAATCTAAAAAAACAACCCCGTTTAAGTACACTATCAAATATAATCAAAAGCTTCAATTGTCTATCTAAAACACTTACAACTCAAAATTTATTGAAATAATCGATGACGTTAAAAAAATTGAAAACAGTCTCTGACTCTTACAATTCCAGACAATGAAAATCAGAAATTTGGATCAAATAAAATATTATGACATATTGAATAAGCATAATCAAAAGGTGGTAAATATGTTGTAGATACAGAAGGTAATAAACAATAAAATAAAAAAATTATATTAAAAGGACCATTATACCCTTGTCTCTTTCATAAGGAACCAAAAATCAAAAATATTCGTTTGTACTCTTTAATAAAGTGTAATATTTAAAGATTTACCAAATTACCCTTGATCATAGACAGGGTTGATCATACCTTTTAGCCATCACATGTAGAACATTAAAAAAAAATAGAAGAAACGTTATAAAAAAAATAAACTATAGTTCTGATATCTCTTCTAGGGTACATATGATTATTGAAATTAATGCGAATAAAAATCTTCAATATTCAAGTGGTTCTGAATATAACTACCCTCCAGTTTTAGGGCTTTCGACTTCACCCCAAACCCAAGTAGAAACGGTCCCTCAAATACTCTAAAAAACTTGAAAGATTAAAATATACACAAAAAAAGATGAAAAATGGGGAAATGAACTTTCAAATATAACAACAATATTTTATAGACAATACTACGAACAAGCTAGAAACATGCAAATAGAGATGAAAGAACATCATAATTAGATTAACATCATACAATCATTTAGTCTTATCTTTCTTCTTCCCTTATAGGAGTTTATAAAACATTTCTATTTTGTGATGGATTTCGGAATTACTTTTTTTGAGATATGTGAGGTTGCAAAGAATAAAACAACAAAGAAATGGAAATGATATGTAATCGTAAAAGCCAGATAATAGAATGAGTAATTCCGTTCCAGAAACATGTTTGTGAGGCACGGAACGGAACATAATGAAATTTTAATACGATTTTTATGTTATATATTGCAATTTAAATTATAAAGATAATCTTTCACATATCTTTGTTTAGTTATTATTATGTAATTAAAAAAAGGTTATATTGCAGCTTTTATACTAATGTTTTATCTTATTGCTGAGAAAACCTAGATACTCACAATGTTCCCAACCCTATTTTCAAGAGTGTAGGATATACCCATTTATCCTTGAGAAAGTAAACTCAATAAGAAAATTTAAACCAGTTAAACGAAGGAATAAGGTTGTGCAAGGTTCTTATTATACTTCTCAGCATGCCCAGACAACGCGAGTACTTGCATAACATCAAGTTCACAACTAAAACGTATTCCAAAAACACAAAACGAAAATTAGCAATCTGAGTTCTATGTATCTCTCCTTTGAAAAAACAGAATAATATGTAATAGATAAATTAGAAGACAATTTTTCAAAAAAAAAAAAAGAACCTACTAAGCAACCAAAAGTAATCAATCATAAACATTTTCCAATAAGGTTTATCGAGGTAATCTATTTACATGGTATACTAAAACTTTGTATTTTCTTTGCTATTGAGTCTAAAATATGTTTTATAATATTAAAAAGGGATCGGTGAATAACTCCTTTCTGAGAGCCCAATTTGTGTTTTTATAAAAAGATGTTTTTAACAATAAATCAAAACAAATATCACTACTGGGTTTTGCTGAGTTGTAGGATATATGGATCACTCACTGGTATAAGGG